TGGAAATTTGGTGGAGGGGGGGGGGGTGACATCTCCCCGCTTCTTACGGTAGCCGCGCATCTTTTTCACCTCGGGGAGAAATGCCACCAGAGCTTCCACCATCTTCGCCCTGATGTACGGATTCCGCATGTAGCTGCGATATTACCATGGTTGCGTTCAGGCACCCGTGTTTCCGTCCCATGGTACGCCGTGTTTTTTGCGACAGAGGCACCGCACGAGAAGCACGAGAGGGGGGGGGGGGGGTCGGAGCGAACACAACAGTAGGAAGAAAGGTCAGGAATTTGTTTGTTTTTATTGGTGAGCGGGCCCTCCATCAGACTGGGGGGAAATAAGTTTGCTCATCAGACGCCCTAAAAGCTCGTTCCAGCTGTCATAGGATCACTGACGTAGATGTCCTGCCGATATTTTTAGCGTTCTCAACACCGCCATAGCCTACATGACCGGGATGCATGATCCCAATTTGTTGACCCAGATCTCCCAGTGACACAACCTCGTCATCGTAAGGCATACGAAACGACCTTCCACTCCGCAACCTTCGTCTCAAACAAGACTGTAGATAGATTTGTAAAACTTTTCTTGTTCGTTGAGGTTCGCTGGGTTGTTCGAGTCCAAAAACACGTTAATAGCTGGCAGACAGCCGTGGGTTGATCCTGGTGTCTGCTTATGTTTCCATCTTGCATTTGTTTGGGTAGAAAAACAGATCGCGCCTTGGAGGAATTTTTTTCTGGTGTCCATTTTTATTGTGACCACGGACGGTGTCCGCGTCAGTTGGACCAGTACCGACATTAGAAGGTACTGAGCGGAGACCGGAACGGTTTTAACGTGAAGACAACAAAAACAACAACAACAACAACAACAACAACAACAACAACATTACCCCTCTTGATAACACTGTGCTCTCATGAGCCAGCCCACTCCGGAGGAATCACTTGAATAATAACCTGGTGACACAACAGCTATACAGTAGAGTGTCGTCCCGGGGTATAATGACGGTTGCCCTGTGTAGCGCCGGTGAAATCGCGTGAAACAGATGGGTTATCAACAATGCCGGTTGCCCCGCTATCAAGGGGCTGGCACCTACAATACGGCATTACACGGGGACCACACTGTCCCCCTCTCTCACCCCTGTTCCAGCTCTATCCACACCCAAGGGGCTGCTGGCACGTACCGGCGTACCGGGAGCACTACTACTCTACCCTCTCACCCGGATGTGCCAATGAAGAGCACGAGGAACGACAGTATCCCGGACGCCTCGATCGGGGAGATGAGCTCCAAGGGCGTTAGCCCTGACCGGGAGTCGGGCGGGCACGTGTACCCGGCGAAATTTTATCATGTCGCTCACGTCCTTTGGGGGGGGGGGGCAGTGGAGCGGAGAGGCACCGAGAGAGAAAAATACATATATCAATCAGTATCAGTGAGGGTAGAAAACGAGACAAAACAGAAAATACGTCGATCCCAGTGAGGCTAGCAACGGAAAGAAGAGACAAAGAAAAAAGAAAAAATGGTGTCAGTCTCAGTGAGACTATTACGGAAAAACGAGAAAAAAAAGGGTCAATCTCAGTGAGGCTAGCAACACGAGACAACGAAATAAAGACGTCCGTCTCAGTTAGGCTAGAAACGAATAAACGCTTCTTGAAGACCATGAACTGGGGGGGGCTCCGTGACGGGGAAGGGCTGTGTGTGTGCGTGTCATTATTGGCACGCATAGCATCGTCGACCGCGCTAACGGCTGACAAATAAAAACACGGCAGTTTCACATACAAACAAAATGAAAAAAGCTCCTGTGTGACCCCGGCTGGTACGTCAGGTAAATACGCAGAAAGGCCTGTAAACCGGCGCCAGAATAGATGGAACGAACACTACACAGCAGTTTTAGTGCGGTTAGAAACAGCAGATGCTTTAAAAGTCCATGATCTCTGGGGTCCCTGTGTGTGTGCGTCTCGATCACTAGCATCAACCGCGCTAACCGGCCGACCAAAAAAAAAAAAAAAATCACAGAACGAAGGGGGCCAAAATTCTCAGAATATGGGCCTCGCCCATAGAACGCCGCAATAAGGTGCTTGTGTGTCAACCTCTTATCGTAAGAGGCGGGGAGATGGCACCCCCGCGGACTGATTTTCAAAGCTCGATTGCCCCACAACCAAGACTGTGCCAACACCGACTTTGGTGGTTCTGGAAACACCTCGTCGAGGGCTTTGCGTAGACGTATGGGGCTCTTCCCACACCCCGCTTAGGTGTGGAGCAATCGGGTCTTGGAAGTCGGTCTACGGGTGGTGCCACCTCTCCGCCTTTACGATACCACCACAAGGGACCGGGCACCCAACACATACAACATCGAAGAAGGTTGCTTGCAGATACTCACACGTACGCTTGTGAAAAGAGGGTATCGTCGTCGACGTTGGGGGAGATGCTACAGCAGTACCCTGTATGAAGGAGATCTCTGCAAGCTCATGGGTACATACCTCCATGAGCTGTGCCGGCAACATTAGTTGTCCTCAAAGCAAAACTGATTGTCCTCAAAGCAACACTGGTTGTCCTCAAAGCAACATATATTGTCCTCAACAGCAACATTGGTTGTTGCCCGAAGCGGGGACTATCGCTGTATGCTCATGATACGTACATACCTCCATGAGGTGTGCCGGCAACATGGCGAACCTAGGCGGCGGGGGCATCGGCAGCGGCGGCAACGGCTCTCCCATCGCGTTCCTCGTGATCCCGCGGCCTATCGAGGCGTGCTTGATTAAGCGGGATGCCTGGGCAACATGACAACAGCAAAAGGTAACAAGCAAGGGAGGGGGGGGCGGGGGGGGGGTACGGAGGGGATACGTCGGGTGGGAGGGTGCGGAGGAAAACAAGATTGCAAGATTGTAGTTAGAGAGAGAGGGCATGGGTTGTGCTGGAGCGGGTCCCTTTCCGCCAGCGTGGAGGAGTAAACTGAAAAATAAACCGCACGGGATGGGGGGGGGGGGGGGGTGGGG